TAAGACTTGATACCCGGAAATGGCTAGAGGAAAGAGTAGAAGATGAGCTTCAATGTGTCTGTACAAGTAAGAATTTTCTGAATAGAACTCTGGTAGCATAGGAAAAAGCAATCTTTCCAGATGGGGTCTCATGAAACTAAAACGTTTCTGTATAACAAAGGGCACGGTTAGTGAAGATGCAGCTCAAAGAAGAAATTATTTGTCACTTATACCTTTTATAGAGGATTAGTAACCAGAATATACTGGAGGAAAAAAAAACCCCTAAGAAAGCAAGCCCAATTTCAAAAGAATATGGAAATAAAGAGTTCTCAAAAGAAATTACAAATCCTGGGAAACATTCTAAAAAGTGTTCAGTATCCCTTGCCACCAGGGAACTGACGGTTAAAACTACTTTAAGATTCCATCTCATCCCAATCAGAACGAAAGGCCATCACCAAGGATACAAGTGGCAACAAATGTTGTCATGGATGTGAAGAAAAGGGAACCCTGATTCACTGCTGGTAGGACTGTAAACAGGTGCATCCACTTTGGATATCACTCTAAAGGTTCCTCAGAACACCAGAACTAGATCTACCATGGGACTCAGTCATAACTCTCTTGGACATCTACTTGAAGGACTGTATACCCTACCACAGAGACACCTGTACATCCATGTTCATTGCACCTCCATTCACAACAGGTAGGGAAGAGAATCATTCTAGATATCCATCAGCTGAAGAATGGAGAGTGGAAATGTGGTACATACATACACAGAATCTTATTCAGCTATAATGAAAAAATATATCATAAAATTTACAGGAAAAGTTATACTAAGTGTAGGTAACCCAGCTCACAAAGATAAATACAGCATGATTTCCTTCATAATGCAGATTCCAGCATTGACTCTATAGTTTCCAGTTCACAAACCACTGAGCAAATGAAGCTGGGTCTCCCTTTATAACATTTCCAAAGGGCCTAAAGCCCATTGGAAAGTGGCATTCAGAGCAGAACCCACTCACCTGGGGAAGGGGGTAGAGATGACACCGTGATTGGGCAGCATCCTGCTTGCAAAATTCCAGAGCGTGGCACACCACATCAGCATTCATAGCTTCACCGAGTCTGGTGGGAAATGGAGCAAAGCAAAAGCTATTAAGATCTCTCAGGCTTCAAGGAGCAGAAGCACTATCAAAGGAAGTTAAATCCCCAGAATGGATTCCGATGCCCTCACAACCCGGCCTTAGAGCTTCAGCCAGCACAGCTACTGCATTGTGTTTTCCAGCCATACTCATCCCTCCTGCCTCTTGCATAAGGTCCTAAGGACAGGGAGGAACACAGTCCCTGAGCTATGAGTTTGCTTTTCAGAAGAACACTGGGTTATTTTCAGGAGAAGCCATGAAAACAATCAGGAAAGGAAAAAAGAAAGGATATGATTAGATGGGAATAGTATGTTGAAATTTATTGGATCTAATAGAAAAACTACTTTACTATACAAACATTTACACCCTTAAGATTATTTTCTTAGATGCAATCCAAATCATATATCTTTTTCTTATGGAAGAAAAATATTACTGCTGATGTGTTTCTTTTATGGAGAAATCTTTAAGGAAAGTGGTCTTCAAATACTGTGGCTATGATTAGATTCAAAGGAGCTAAAACAACATGTGATGGCTCATCTTCTTTGTCAAGTTTAGTACACTTAAAATGATCTAGGAGAAGCATCCTTCATAAGGGCATCACAGAGAGCTGAACCTCAGTGGTACTAGTTGATGGGCTAGTGGTCCAGACTTAATGAGAGGAGAGAAAGGAGGAAGCTTTCTGAGCTCTCTCTCTCTCTCTCTCTCTCTCTCTCTCTCTCTCTCTCTCTCTCTCTCTTTCAAGCTTTCTGAGCACTAATCACCCTCTCCTTTATTAACTGACAATGCAGGTGACCTTCACTTATGTTTTCACCAAAGCAATCAACTTCCCTCAAATCATGAGCCCAACAATTACTTTTCTTTTTAGTTTCTTCTTGCCAGATATTTGGTCAGAGAAGTGAGAAAGGTGACTAATACTGACAATTGTTACTGAGAGTTCATTACTGTGACTTCCTGACTGCAAGGCTCATAGGCCTTCTGAACTCATTTACAGCAGAAATGGGGAAGAGTTTGGAGCTGTAAACAGAGAATAATGAGTAATTCTTACAAGAGTTCAGATGACAATACTGCACATAGAAAGCAAAGTGAGTCAGAAAGGACTCTATAAGGTTTATACATAGGAATAAATTAGAACTACCTGAACCTAGGTTAAAGGTCATTTCTTATATATTATGCCAACTAACCTGGCTTTATTTTGTTCATCCCCTAAAACTCTGAGTGAGGCTGAATTCAAAAGTAATGAAATACATTGTTTGGTGAAGGAGATGTCATTATTTCATTTAGACTGTGACATGGTTATTGCTGTCTGCATTTAGTGAGGTTTAGAGTTCAAAGCAGAATGTTATGAAAAATATTTGGATTGGCAAACATGCAAAAGTGTGTGGGTGACGACAAGGTGGTTGTGAGCAAAGCCTCTTTAGTTCTTAGATTAGCACTCTTGAAAATAAGCTGTGAGTTTCATAGTGACAGCAGTAAAGAAATCAGAATCCTATATATTAAAGGCTCCAGGGCATAGCAAAGCAAGTTCATTTAAAAAGAAGGCATCTGAAAATATAGACACTTCAGGTTACATGATGGAAAAAAGGCAAACCAGGGAAGTAATTCTCTAGGTCCAGCCATCTACTTAGGGGCTGCTGCATCTGTGGTGCAGGAGAGCTGGCTGCATTTTAAATTGGTAGCCAAACTTGGCATTGTTCACATGCACAACATAAGAGCTAAGGAGTCACAGAGTTGTAGCAACACCTTAGAAAGACACCAAGGTCAGACAATGGGACAGATTATGGACACAGACTCATGAGTAGGCTGTGCATGAAGTGGTGGAGGTGAGGACCAAGATGCAACAGAGTCTCCAGAATATAGACGAGACCAATATGGTACATGTGAGGTTTGTTGAGGAAATCTTCAGACACTGGAGTCTATTCAACTCCACTGGAGCACAGATGATATTTGAAAATGGTTTGCTTTAGATATTCCTTGAAGGTTTTACAGAATTCAACCTGAATCTGTCTAGTTCTGAGATTTTCTTTTGGAGGAGGTTTTTAATAGTTGCCCCAATCTTGTTATGGGTCTATTTCAACTGTGTCCATAGGCTTTAACTTCGGTAGGTAGTATGCATTTAGATAATTAACCATTGCTTTTAGGTTTTTCACATCTTGGAATGTAAGTTATCAAATTATTCTCTAGTGATCTTTCAAACTTCTTTGGAATGTTTGTCTGTCATTGATTAATTTGGTTGTTACTTCTCCTTCGTTTGGATAGTTTAGCTACAGATTTGGCACTCTCACTAATATTTTCAAAGAACCAACACTGAATAATGCTGCTTGTTCTTTTGGTTTCTCTTTCATTAATTTCTCCCATGATGTGTGTGAATGTGTGCGTATATGTGTACGTGTGTGTGTGTGTGTGCGTGTGCATGCATGTGTGTGTTTTTCCTGTATATTGTTTGGATTCTAATTTTTTTAGAGCTTTGAGATATATCATTAGATTATTTTTGGAGTTAGAGGCACAAACTTTCCTTTCAGGATACCTTGTGTGTATCTCAGAGGTTGTGGTAGGCTTCACTTTTATTTGCATTTGATTCAGGAATTTAAAAGACTCCTCCTTAGCCGAGTGGTGGTTCCTCATGCCTTTAATCCCAAAACTCCAGTGGCAGAGGCAGGCAGATCTCTGTGAGTTCAAGGCTAGCCTGGTCTACAAGAGCAAGAGCTAGTTCCAGAACAGGCACCAAAGCTAAAGAGAGAAACCTTGTCTTGAAAAGCCAAAACAAAAACAACAGCAACAAAAACAACAAAATCCTCCTTGATTTTTTCCAGGTCAAACAGTTCATTTAAAACTATATTGTTCAGTCTTCAGGTATTTATGTATTGTCTAAGATTTATTAGCCTTGTTATTACTTTTCAGACTTATTCCACCGTGGTTTTGTAAGGAATTGTTTCAATTACTTTGTATAGTGTGAGGCTTGCTTTATGGATTCTATTGTGAGAAATTTTGGAGAGCATTTTATGTGTCTCTAAGAAGAACATTTACTTTCTACTTATTGCATGGAATGTTCAATAAATATCTACTAAATATTATTGGTTTGTAGTATACTTTGGTTCTTAACTTTCTTTTCTGATTTTTAATTTTGAAGACTCATATCTAGATATGAGAGTGAGGTGTTTGAAGCCTTCAATAATGATTTGCTAGGATACATGTGGCCTTTTATACCACAAAAAATGCGGTCCCCATGAATCGGTGCATGCATATTTATAATAATCATATCATCTCGATGAATTTTTTTATTAGTATGCAGTGACCATTTTTGCCTCTTTTGACTAGTTTTGGTTTGTAGTATATGTTAGCAGACATGAGAATTAGACCAGTTTAGATTCAGTTTCTATTTGTTTGTTGGGTTGTTTTCCAACCATTAATTCTCAATTTTTGGACATACTTCCAAGTTTTGTGAATTTCATGGAGAAAATTGTTAGTTGGAACCAGTTAGTCTGCAATTCATGTGTTAAGGCCATTTACATTTAATGTTGTTATTACACGTTTACTAACATTGGGTCAAAACATCACTCAATCCTAATGAGAGAAGCTTCTTGAAGTAGATGGGAATCAACACAGAGACCTAAACAACCAGTCAAAAGCTCAGTCCTAACTGGGATCAAACCCATCCCCTCAGGGCTCAGTGACCTATGCAGAAGAGGACACCAAAAAGTGTAAGAGCCAGAGGTGAGCATACAGAAGCTTTTTCAAAGAGGGCGCTAACTGTGCTAGTGAAGGGCAAGTGGAGTTGGGAGGAAGCCTACCTCATTCCAAAGATTTAGTTTCACTCTTTTATTTCACTCTATTGTTGTGAACTTACGATTTTTCAAGCTTAAAAATTATTTATATTTTTTTGTAACAGGGAAGAGGTAAATATGGCCTTTCACTTTCTCAAATTCTGCAATTAGATTTCCCACATTTGAGCGAATCACAGGGGTCACCACATTTACATTACAGTTGGTGAGCCTAACCCTGGGAAAATCACCTTCATGATTTTGGCATCTCCCATTCTGAGGGATATCGTGGAACTTTTATTTTCTTCTCTCTCTCTCTCTAAAAAAAAAATAGGTTCTCATGGTGTAATCTTGGTTGACCAGGAACTTGAAATGTAGACCATGCCAGCTTTGAACTCACAGAAGGAGAGTTTGTCTTGCCCTGGAGGAGCTGGGACTACAGGTGTGAGTCACTATATTTATTTTGAGTCTAGTCAATTCTGTAATTTTATTGTGAACAAAGTAGCTACAATATTTTGTATTTTTGATGTCAATAAAAGCCATTATACTTAAATCATATGATAATTGTTGTAATCTTTGCTCTTTAATGTTCTTATGAAAATGCTGTCCTTTCCTAATCTCTGAGAGCTACTGAACTTCCCACACAGGGATTTAGAGGGAGGCAAGATGATGCTTAGTGGCCCCAGAGCTAGATTTTCTGAAGCAGCATTGAGAATACTGGAGGTCAGGACCAGATAGAGAACTTTTCACCTGAATCCTGGTTAGGATGGATTTCTACCTAGATAGCCTCTTCTAGGTATCTAAATTGATATGAGATTCCCCTCTGTATGCTATGAATGCTTTATTGACATTGGTTAATAAAGAATCTGCTTTTGGCTAGTGGCTTAACAGAATATAGCCAGGCTGGAATAGATATATAGAGAGAGTAGGCAGAGTCAGCGAGAAGCCATGTAGCCACCACAGAATACAGACGCCTCTGCCGGAGGCCACCAAAACTTTGCCAGTAGGTCACCTCCTCGTGGTGATGCACAGATTAATGGAGATAGGTTAGCTGAGGATAGCTAGCTAGCAATAAACTAAAACTATTGGCCAAAATATATTGCAAATAATATAGATTCTTTGTGGTTAATTTGGTTCTGAGCAGCTGGGGGGAATGAACTCACAGCCTCCAACAACACTAGATACTTGTTCTTCCAAAACTTATATGCATTTGTGGGGCTCTCTGCTCATGGATGAGATCCACGCCCCTTTCGAAAGGAGGTCCACATAACTTGTTTCCAATTCTACCTTGTGTGTTTGCAAAAGGAAGGCAGAGTGTATGAAGTTAAGAGTGAACCTATCAGGCATCTAATCTGCTGACTCCTTGGTCTTGTGCTCCAAGCCTTCAGATCTCTGAGTGGTAAACTTCTGTTGTTTCCAAAATTTCCAGTGTCAGGTATTTTGTTACAAAAGTTCAGACAGGTCAGACACTGATGGTGAGTTTAAAGGGAATGTCTTATTTCTCCAGTTCCCTCTCTTTACAGAATCCTATGGCTATGTCTGTGGATAGGAAATGTAATTGCTACATAATTAGTTCATGAATTATTGAGAGCTGACTAGTATGAGATAAAAGAAGAAATGGCCTCCAGGTCAGGAAATCCATTTCATATCAGAAGGCAGCTATTCAAGTAAAATTAAATCAAGAGGTTGTCATTTTAAGGGCAAGCAACTTCAAGCTGCTTCGGACTACTTAAAACAAGGTGCAAGAGGAGGACGCATGTAAGGAGAGATCCCTAGCAGCATGGAGCTGATGATGGGGTGCTGGTCCTGACGGGGTGCTGGCACTGATGGGATACTAGTTCTGACGGGGTGCTGGTCCTGACGGGGTGCTGGCATTGACAGGTTGCTGCTCTGACAGGGTGCTTACACTAATACAGCCCCGGAGCTGACAGGGTGCTGGTGAGAGGAGGGTGCTGGCAATGACAGGGTGCTAGACCTTTATGGATAAACAAGTGGTGGGCAGAACCATTCATTGCATCTGTCTTACTCCAAAACAGCCTATCCTCCATCCAGCTCTGCTTCTTTCCTTTCTCAACCTCCTTTCCACCCTTCTTTCTTTGACATATAGTCAGGATTTTTCTGAATACCTGAAATTACACACAAAATGAGTAAAATGTTGTCCTAGGCTTTTGAAAGCGGTTGACTTAGCAGGATCTCAGAAGTAGAGAGGTAATTAAATTGTAAACAAATGTCTTAAGTGCTATTCTAGAGGCTTGCACAGCATACTTTTATGTGCATATGGGAGTGTGTGTGTGTGTGTGTGTGTGTGTGTGTGTGTGAATTTGCTTGTATGTGGTAGCAGTGGAATATCCATATTAGCTTGGAGAGGATCAGGGAAGCTTTCAGAAGAGGTGACCTGTATATGAGCTCCAAAGAAGTAGAGTAATGTATCTGGATATAGGTTTAATATGTATCAAACACAGGAAACAACTGCCAAAAATCTTTAGGCAACGCCTGCCTGTAGTGCAAGAAAATCGCCGTGGAATATGCTGAGATATGGCAAGGGATGGATTTGGAAGGGACACCAGGGCAAGTTCATGAAGAATCTTGTGGATGGGGCCAGAAGTCCTGAGAAGGAAGTGTAGAATTTAAAGAATTTTAATAAAAAGGAATGCCATAGTTAGGTTTGCATTTAAAGATACTATTTTTTTCTGTATTGGAAGATTTTGATTTTAAGAAAAACTTGCAAGTCCGTAGGCCTGACTTCAGTTCATAGACCATGATAATACTTGAGGTTTAAAGTAAAGGATAGGGTCCCTGTCACAGTCAGAATCCAGAATAAACCATTTCTGTAATAGATAAGTTCAGTATTAATAGACACTTTTACACATGAAGAGCACAGATATGTATGACTCTAAACTTCTGTCTTTAAAATTCTCTGGCTCTAGGCCACACTACTTTAGAGGGTGACAATGTCTTTTAAGCTTCACCACTATACATCCAACTCTTGGGCTAAGCACACATTTATTATAGGAATATTCAGAAGAGCACTATATACAAGAAGGGATCCAGAGGACAACCTGCATGACCATTAGTTGTAAAACACGTGAACAATACCCTAGAAATACAATTCAGCATCACACGCCCCAAGTGAGTGTGCTAGAGTTCACACTTCAGGGGCACAGATGAAAGGATATATAAAATGTGACACCATGTTGAGAGCTAAAAATATATATTTTGCAAGACTGTAATAATACACACTATATATGTATATATCTTTTATTATTATTATTATTATTATTATTATTATTATATGTATACACACGATATATAGGGGGTGTCATGGCACAGGTATGGAGGTGAGAAGACAGCTTTGTGGAAGCAGTTCTCTCCTTCAACCTTTACGTGGATCCCAGAACTTGGGTGGTCTGGCTAAGCCATCTTGCTGGCAATCTATCTATCTATCTATCTATCTATCTATCTATCTATCTATCTGTCTATCTATCTATCTTCTATCTATCTATCTCTTCATATATGATAAAAGTACATGGAGGGAAGGATGAATACAGAACTTTGGATGTCCATGGGGATGTAAAAGGTAAAAGGGAGAGACTGTAAGGTTAGACTCAGTTGATCATCATGGTCCAAGAGTTCGTTTGTGGGCATAGGTCTGGGTGCTTGTTGTATAACTCAAAGGACTGAGTAAATAACTAAGTCATAAACATAAGACAACCAAGTAAGGATGCAAGCCTGGCAGAAATTAAGCTATTCTTGTGTCCCCCAATCTGACTATCAGACTATTAGAAAGTGGATCTCAACAATGGGAATTCCTCCAAAATTCTCATACTGGGGGAAGAAGTCTGAAAGTCTGCTTCCATTTAGTGGAAAATCTTATTTCCTGGGGCAGGGAATATGACTCATCTTATCCAGTGCTGCAAAGAGTGGTCAACACAGAAGGAAGAGAATAAGAAAGAAAACAAACAGATCATGATAACATAGAGGGGCTAGGAGAAAATAGGTTAGAAAACCTGGAGAACAGAGGGGTGGAAGCCATTGGGAGAGAGCAGGGCCAGTACTGAGAGCTCAGAGACAGGGTCAGTCACCACGTCAGTGGATAGTGCAGGGTTATTTGTTGTTGCTGTCTGTAAATCCTGCATGGAAGGTGCTTGGAGAGAAAAGGAGTCGGATTTTCACACTGTGCTTCTAGAGAAGCCTCTACTGGAATGACAGCATCAGAATCTGATGTCAGAATCTGGTGTCAGCTTCCCTCTATCAATGGTGACAGGAAGAGCTGGGCCAGCCCTTCTCCAATGAGAAGAAAGCTGCCTTCTGCCCTGTGCTAGCAACTGAGTCAGATTCCTATGTCATACTCACAGTTTGATGATGTCTGGTCCAAACATCTGAACCAATAAATAGCAGGTGGTTTTCAAGAAGAGTTTTTCTAAGGAAAAAAGGTGAATAGAATATATTTAATTGTCAAAGTTTAGAACAGGTGTCAGTGTTTATGAATAATAAGACTGAATGAGTAACAATTAATTTAAGTACTAGTTTCAAGGGTTTTGGTAATTTCAAAGTTACTGTGGTTATTAAAATTTCATATCTAGGAGTTGGAGCAATGGCTCAGAGGTTAAGGGCACTGGTTACACTTCCAGAGGACTTGGGTTCAGTTCCCAGAATCCACATTGTGACTCACAACCGTATGTAGCTCCAAATCCAGGGGATCAGATGCCCACTTCTGGACTCCCCAAGCATCAGGTACAGAATGATCCACAGACATGCACATAGGCAAAATACTCAAATCCATAAAAATAGTTGTCCCATTGCACGGGAAGGGTGTGTCTTGCTTTTCTTTTCTTTAATCAGTCCACACATCATGAGGTGGGGACCAGATTGGAAAATAGTTTTGCCTTATTGCTCTTAAAGACAATAAAAGGGGGAGCTGTAGGGCACCGCCAGGATGTCACCTTGGCGAGATAGTCCTACAGCCTGGAGGTATACATATCCTTTGATGTTGCCACCTTAGGCCGGTGTGCTCAGAGCCTTGTTTTGCATTTCAAGAGACTCGGTCTCCTGACCTGTCCCGTGGCCTTGGGTCCTAGTAGAATGGCATCAACCAATCAGCATTCGAGCCTCTCACCCTAGAAAAGCGGCTGTCTTTGGATTTTTCGCTCTCTCTCATCCCTGTTCCCCATTCCCCCTTTCAATCAAGGAGCTCTAATAAATTATGATTGAGAAGGATTCTTGATTTTGTGATTGTCCATTCCTGCTGGTCAGAAAGCGCGTCACATTTCCTGTTAAATATTCTGCA